CGTGCCTCTCAGAAGACGTACAAATGGCCCATAAATACATGAAAATGTTCAGCATTGCTGGCCATTACAGAAATGCAGATTTAAAGTACGTTGAGATACCATCAAGAGGAAGAAACATGGAAAGAGAGGAGATACCATCTTCACCCAGAAGGAATGGCTGTTATAAAAAAAAAAATCTCATAAGAAATCCTGGTGAGGATGTGGTGAAAAGGAATTCTACATTGTTGGTGGGAATGTAAACTAGTGCAGCCACTATGGAAATCAATGTGGGGACTCCTCCAAAAAGTAAATAGAGAAATTCCACTTGACCCAGCTATCCCCCTTCTAGGTATCTTCCCAAATTAACTAAAACCTTCATTTTACAGGGAGACATACTCATGTTTATAGCAGCACAATTTATAATAGCTAGATCCTGAAAACAGCATATATGACCATCATTTGATGAATGGATAAGGAAAATGTATTTATACACAATAGAGTACTACTCTGCCATAAAGAAAGATGAATTTAAGACATTTGTACATAAGTGGATGCAACTTGAGAACACAGTGTTAAGTAAAATGAGTCAAACACATAAGCTCAAGTACCACATTTTCTCTTATATGAGGAAAAAATAGAGAGAGATAGGGAAATAGAAGACAGATAAACAGGAAGTAAGAAGTTCAAATAATTCCCTAAATTTCCTATCCTGCTCTATCAAAAGTAGTTTCATATATACACAAATTCACTCGTACTACTAGTTTCTTAGTTCATTAAAAATACTGTTGTGCTATTATCTCTTTATTTCTTCTTTGTAACAATGTTTTTGACTTATTAATTACTTTGAAGATAATGATACACAATGTATTAACTGTTATTCTCTCATTTTATTATGAAAATTTTTCATAAAGCTAAAAAAATCAGGCTAGCTTATGTAACACTCAGAAATAACCTGTGAAGTGAGAATGTGTGATTTAACTACATGAAATATTTTACAAACAGTAGTAGAAAATTTATGCACATTGCACACATATATACAAAGGCCTGTCACTCAAAAAATTCTACAAGAAAAAGAAGAATGCACAGATACACACAGATAAAAAACAAAATTTAAAAAGCAATTACAAAGTGAGCTGTGCCGGGGAAGCCTCCAGCGTTCTCAGTTTGTGGATCCCCAGCGCTCCTTGTGCTGATGGGTGGCAACCTCAAGTGGCCTGTTGAGGTTCTGCCACTGGCTCTGTTTGCTCTACCCAGCCTACCTCTCTCACCTCCCACAGCTCTCCTGCAGTTGTACCCCGTTCTGTCCAGCCTGCAACCTCCCCTGTTGATCAGGGGGGAGGCAGTAATCCTACCTCTGTGCACCATTTGGTTCTCCTGACTTTTCTGTCCCTGTTAGTCCCAGGTCAGTGAAGCACTTGTCCTTGCTGGGTTTCATTCTGACCTGGGGTTTGAGTTGTTTCGGCAGCCCTTAGGATGAAGCCTCCACAGTCTATGTGTGGGTTGTTTGCTCCACCCTGTGATCTGCACCACCCTCTGATTTGCCAGAGGTCTCTTTCCAGCATGCGAGTTCAGCAGCATTTAGGCGTTGGCAGAAGAGAATCCTGTGCGGAATTCAGTAGTATTTGAGGAACTATAGGAGGAAGCTCACAGGAGCGCAGAGCTCAGGGAGATATTGGGGTGTGGGCGAGTGCCGGGTCTGGTGCTACTGCAGTGTCTTTCTCTCTCCTTGGCTCCCGCCTGTCGTAGCCCCTGTAAGTGCTGCGATTACTCAGCGTCGTGCAGACTGCTCAGTGCCTTGTTGTGGGTCCTTAACCAAAACTGCCCGTTGTGCTCTCCACCTCTGGGTCTCAGGCTCATCTGTCCTGCTTAGCCACTCCTGTCTGGCCGATTTTCTGGCTTTTGCTTTCCTCAGTGCCTTGGTTTGAGGAGGCTTCCCTTGGAAATACCTCCCTCACCGGGCTCCCTCTTCAGTGGGTGGAGAGTTGGAACAAGTGAGCCTTTGTGGGTGGTGCTACTCTGGACCCCGTCAGCAGCCTGGCAGGTGCTGCTGCGCCAGCTCCTTCCTTCAGAGGGGTTTGAGCTTCTCCCAAGATGGCATGGTCCTGGACTGTACGCCGTGTGAGGATCAAGAGGCAGCCTTGCTTTTCATTTGAAACACTCCTGTTGCTGAATTTCATCTGATGGGCTCCTCCTTCAAGATGCCTTTCTGTCATTGAGCTTTGGATCCCCCACCCCGCCTGAGTTCCTGTGTTCCTTGGTGAATGCCTTCTGAGTGTCTCATGAGGGTTGCTCTCTGCGTCCTGCCTTGATGTTCCTCCCTTTTCTCTCTTTTCTTATTTGCAAACACATTTCCCAGCCTTTTCCCCTTCCTGTCAGCCAGGTTATCTTAGTAAAACTTTCAGTTTGGCCTAGTTTGCGTCAAATTAATTTATAAGCATTTTGATTACTTGGAACACATTGCTGACTTTGCTCTTGTACCAGGTCTGTACTCACCAAAGGCAGTCACTCCCAGATATCTCCAGTACAGCCCCATAGTCTGTATTTCCAAAAATGTTGATAGTGCTACTTGCAATGTTTTCTTGACTGAAGAGAATTTTCCTGTTTATTTTTTATAGAAGTGATGAGAATATAAGTATTTTGCAACTATGCTAAGCCAGTAGACCAAAATTTAAACTAGTGGATGAGAAAAAGGTATATATGAGTGTAGGGTGGGGAGGGAGAGTTGTTCATTTTGCTAAAGGAATCTTACCATTATATTTTGTTGCATAACCTCTCGTGATTATTAGAATCCTCTGTTAGGACCACCAGGAGCACTCCGGGTTAGTTGGGTTACACCTGGCATTGTTGATGTACACGTCTGGAATCCTCTTTGAGTAACATATAGCTCATGTGTGTCTTACTGCACTGTTAGCTGGCTGTCTCTATATTAAATGTAAACTGCACTCCCTTCAGATTGTGAGCAACCCGGCACAGCCCTGAGTGCTGAAGCTCAGCGATGACTGTGAGTCCTGTTTCCATCAGCTTCACTCACCCTCAAGACTGTAATCTTGCGGTCACCCTTTTCTCAGACCATTTACTTAGCACAGACAGACAAACATGAAACTGTAAAATCTCTCTCTGCACCCTGGAAATACAGATTTTCTTCTAGTTTCTTGCCAATTTTAGAACACACTGCTGTCTTTAATAGGGACCTAGAGATCCTCCCGTGTGGCAGTCTCTCTTAGGTAGTAGCTGCAAGTAAAGGTTGTAGAGTTGTAGCTGCCACTGGATCCTGACTCTGACTCAACAAGTCACAAAATCTCATCAAGCTTCAGTTTCCATCTAAATAAAACATAGATAATGTTACTTACCTGCAGGACTTCAGTGAGGGTGCTTGGGTCAATGAATATAAAGCACTGAGTGCACCACCTGACATATAGTATCTACTCATTCAAATTTAGTTTTTTTTTGGTACCAGGAATCAAACTCATACCATGAAAAACTTCTTGATAGCACTTCCCTTAAAATAGTAAATTTCTCTGCTATATTACAGTGTGGTTCTGTTTCCTTACTGTCAATGCTGCACCCTTCCAGATACCTGCTTTGCAAAATGAAGTCTTTGTGTTCTTGAAGCAAAGAGAAAAATGCATCAGAAACCATGAAGACAAGCAGCTCTGATAGCAGCTAGTTATACATCAGAGCCTCAAGTGTGTGGTTATTTAGGGCAGAAAGATCATTTACTTCTGAGGTAACATCGAGAAACACCATCTGTGAGAGAGAGACAAACTGAAATACTGTATATGTTTTCAGACAGTCTAGCAAGTTATGTTCTCCAACAAATGAAGAAAACTCTGTGCATTTTATATTTTAAGTTCAAAATATCCTCTACTTAGGCTTTCATAGAACCCAAACTTTAAAGAACTAATATCCAGGGACTGGGGATTTAGCTCAGAGGCAAAGTGCCTGCCTGGCAAGCGCAAGGTCGTGAGTTCAGTTCCCGGTACTGGAGAAAAACCAAAAAATAAAAATAAAAAATAAAGAACTAATACCCAAATACTGAGTTTTCTTTCAATAGATATATTTTAAAATGCAGGTTATAATACTTCATTTTCTTGTAGCTACATTTTGAAGCATTCCCCAAATTCTTATGTTTTAGAGAACTGTATGTGAAGCAACACATATATATCTGAAACTTTTTTTGCAAGAATGCGGGGGGGGCATGGTAATATATATTTGGGAGCTACAGTACTATTTTCTGACTCCATATCATAAAAATGTCTAGTCAAAACATTTCTGCGTTCAGTGTTTGCTATATCCATAAAGTTACACCCCCACCCCCTTCTCTCTCTCTCTCTCTCCAAAGTAATCTGAGAAAAATTCACTCAAATTACTATCTGATGTTTAACAATCTGTATTCCTGTTTGGAAACTCTGCTTGCAATTCTGATTTACAAAGATAACAGTGAAGATATGGATCAGTCTCAAAGGCCAGAAGTCTTGCATTGATGTTCCCTTCTTAAATACAGACAAAATGATGAGGTTTTTTTGTTTGTTTGTCTTTCAGGTTCTTTGTTACCTCTGATAGTCTATTCATGTTTTTTCTACTTGCTGTTAATGGAGACTTATAACACTAGGTTTATAATTTTATTCTCATTTCCCTTCCCTGCTTGAAACAGTTTTTTGTTTCGGGGAGGGGTTACAAAAAGGCAAAGCCTCGTAAGTTATGAGTACAGATGAAAAGATAAACCATATTGTGGTTTATGATGTCTTGCTACCCCACCTGGAGAGAAAGCATTTAGAAGCAAAATTTTTTTAAAAAGTAAAAAATCTGAGTCACCTCAGAAATAATGTATGCCTATGATGAATTAAGGATTTAGTTAGTATTATGGCCCCCAGTTGTATATATTTTATCCTAAGATACCATTTGGTTTAATAAAATATAAATCTGAGGCTATTCCTAACATCAGTTTCTTGGGCTTAATTATAAAGGTTATATTTTCAGAGAACAGAAGCATTACTCATTTGTCTGTTCCTGTCTTCCAGGTTTATCTTGCAGATTATGGACTTTCGTACAGATATTGTCCCAATGGGAACCACAAACAGTATCAGGAAAATCCTAGAAAAGGCCATAATGGAACAATAGAGTTTACTAGCTTGGATGCCCACAAGGGAGTAGGTGAGTGTCTTCCTTCTTTTTCTTATTTTTATTTCAGAAGAATGATTAGAGTCAGGAGTAATAAAGCTGTATGAAATGACCTTTCTATAGTCAGTTTGAAGAGTGAGAGCAGTGGTGAGATTTTTATGAAAAGTAGTGAATTCCTGTTACACCGGTGAATATTTCTTCTCATAGTGGACCGACATATGGACTCTTGACAAGTGAGAAAGGTACAAAAGAGTGTCAAGTAAATAAAACTTGATGTTCGTTTTGCCCAGGAAAATCGCTGGCTTGTGTATGTTAGTGCTGGAGGTCACTGCTGCACCTTTCCGCTGCTGTGCATATCACAGACTGTAAAGATGCACGTGTGGACCTGGTGTCCAGTGTGCCCTCCTCTGTGCTGTGGAGGATGGCGTCTCTGCACACTCAGGGTGTCTCTTCTGAAAGTATAAAGTGTTAACTTGCAGAAATCCATTCGAGTCGCCTTTCATATATCTTACTTATTTAAACTCACTTTGATGGTATTGGAAACACATTTGCAGGTAAATTACATACATAGTCCTTTTATTGGATATTGATTGTACTGCCTTGCATTCCAAGGCAGACTTAATTCAACAATTCCCTAATTAGTTAAAGTCATAACCTATGTCTTGTATTCATTTACCATTAATTAAACCTTAGCTGTTTATTACTCTGCAGTCCAAATCCAATAGCCGACCCAGGAAGCCATGGAAAAGGAAGTAGAAGGTCAATATTGAAAATATATGGTGCTGAGTCCCAGTGACGGTTGCTTTGTTCCCAATCAATATGGTCAATGCAACTGTACTTTCTTAGTTGCTCTGTCAGCAAGACAAAAAGTCAATTCTAATGTTATGCTAGTGAAAAAAGGTGATTATTGAAAAACTTTGGTTTTCAAAATTATATTCTTTGTTAACTTTGTTTAGAAAAGTATTTTCAAACATGCCAAACCAAACAAATAATTTTTTAAACTGCTTTGAAAGGACCACATTGTCACTAAAAGGAAGTTAGACATTCACTTGCTAGTGTTTGCAGAACTGTTACCTGGCCTACACTGATACTTTGTAACCAGTTTCAGTTGGCACAGACAACTGTATATTACTGCCTTTTCTATTAAAAGGACCATTGACCATGTGATGCAGAGGGTCCTGATCATTTTCCAGAGCAATTAAAACCCACACTCGTGTAAGGTAGTTGATGAAAAAGTAAAAATAAGTGTGTCGCTTATATACCTTCTTGTCAGGAAGAATCTTAGGTTCCTTTTTTCTGAAACAGAAATTAGCTTTTACACTCCAGAGCAGAGTAAAAGAAATCACTTCAGTTATGTCAAGTAGTTTTGGTAGAGTAGTAGTGATCAGTCAGAAACTGAGCAGAGTTGTTAATTTTTCACCATTAACATTATTAATAAATCAATAAGCATTTAAATATAAAATAGATTGTGACTTTGATTAAATTGAAATATGTAAGAAGCGAGGTATCCTGGTGCACACTGTTATCCTAGCACTTGGGGAGGCTGAAGCAGGAGGATCACAAGTTTGAGCTCAGCCTGGGCAATGTAATGAGACCCTCCCTCAAAAAGAGAAAAAAGTACTCAGATGTAGCTCAGTAGAAAGGCCCTCAGTTTCACCCTCAGCACCACAAAGAATGAAGCAGCAAAAAGGTACAGAAGACTCCAAGTGCCCGTTGATCATATTTTTCTTTTTTTTTTAATTTTCACTCCCAGTGCATTTTGCCAGATTTATTTTTGTGATATCTGATAGAATTTTTGGAAACCTGAAAGTACTTTCTATGTAGTGTTATAACTGCAAACTCATCATGCAGATCCTTCAGCACTGGTCTGGCTTCTCTAGGAATAATACTAACTTAAGGCTGGGACACTCATTTAAACTGATGGCTCTGATGCTGATTCATTTTGGTCCTGGACATTTAAATAGCTATGAAGCGATTGTGATTATTGTGGGGAAGAAGAGATGGTATGTGTTATTCTGCCCAAAGTTTGGGCAGTGGTGACTCTGAGAGTTCTCTTCAGTTAGTCCATGGTTTGAGTTTCCATTATGCTGTCTTCATAAAAGATTTGAACACTTTTTAATCTGTATTCCATTTAAATATTTTTCTCCATTAAGTCATAATACATGTTGACAAATTAGATAGATTTCACCACTCTCGGTCTTTGGGGAAAAGATTGAACTCAGAATGATCATAGAAAGATGTTATTACATTACTGGAAGGGATACTCAGGGAAAAGCCTACATTAAATCGTTTTGGTATTTGGTGGAAAGTTTTATGCCAGAATGAATATTCATTTTTATCCTAGATGGCCAGGATTCTATAAAGCAGTATATTTTCTTAATACATTTTAAATATCATCTACTTTAAACTCTTGAGTGTATCTGTATCTTCATGTAGCTATAGATAAGCTCATATATATATGCACATGCATACACATATATACATTTGTATGTAGACATGCATACACATACTTGCTGAAATTTTAATATGCCATCTTAGTCTGGCATATAAAATGGAAGATTAGATATCCTCAAATATTTGAATGCTGTTCATTCCTAATGTTCTGCATTTAATTTTCCAAAATAAAATATTTCAGTTTGATATTTTATTAGAAATGAAATAATCATTTAGCCGTATCTGGAAACTGGAATAAACAGGGCCATAAATCCTGCAGGTAAATGCAGAAGGTCAGATTCATAAATATTCATGTATCTACTTTTAGTACAATCACTGTATAGTTTAGTCTCAGAAAAAAATCTTCTATACTATTCCAACTATGAGATCAAATAAATATTGATGAAACATAATGCAAAGGAGCATTATTAGCAATAAAAAAAGTTACTACTATGAAGTAGAACTTCCGGTTGCCAAAGCTCTTGCTGTTTGTCAGGTGTATTTGTGTCTGGTTAGACCACAGGAAGTATTCATGATTTAGTGTAAAACTGACTTAATGAGTTAGCCATCCAGTAGAGACTATTAATTGAGCAGACTATCTCATCTTTGCTACTTTTTGTAGTGGTTATTGAGAAACTAAAGCTAAAGTTGTTTTTTGTTTTTTTTTGTTTTTTTTTTTTTTTTTTTTTTGATGACATGTTGATATAAGGTGCTATTCAGCTATTCTCCTAAGCTTTTTCTAATTCAACTTCATGTGAAGGGAGGAAGGGTACTTGGGAGGGAAAGACGGAAAAATCATTTGGCCATTAGCTTGTGTCATTAAAACCAAACAATACTTATGGAGATGTGTGGAAATGGATGGACAAAAAGACAGATGGAAAGATAACTATTCCTGGAACTATCACATATCTATATATCTGCGTATTTTTTAAGCATTGCAATTATTCTTCTAAACTCAATTCTCTTGTGTAAACTAAAGATATTTTCTAAATGGCTGAATTGCTCCATTGGTATAAAATTAGACTAATGTTTGTTGGACATATTTCTTTCATTAATTTTTTATTCTTCATAAAAACTAGCATATATAAACATGGACATATTTTGTTCTTGTTCCATGATAATTAAAGAGAATTATATCTGTGTCAAACACACTATTTAAAATTTGTTACATTCTTAGTAATGTTAAAATGCAATATTTGAATCAATGTGTGATATGGATTTTTGTAGATTTTTCTACTCACTGAGGCATGCAGTCAATACCTAATTTCTCTAGAGATATACTGCATTTAACATATTGAGCTTTTTTAAATACTTCAAACCTAGGCGTTGAGTGTATAATACCTGTTTTAATTTGACATCATTGATGACCATAAAATATGATATCTAAATTGCATTTTAAATGTCCATTTGTTTATGTAATGTATTCAGTGTCAGGGAAAGAAATATATTACATACTTTTTCATTTTTGCCAATTGATGCAGTATATGAAATCCAAGTCTTGTGTTATTTTTTGCATGGTTTCATTTCACTTTAGCAGTCCAACTTTGAAAATATATGTGAAATAAACTGAAAATGTATTTTCATGTTACTAAACTTGGAGAAACAGCATGGTTTCCACAATACATATCTTCTCAAACAGTAATTCAAAAAGGGAACCTATTTTCTTATAAAATTAATTGAATATTGATACGATGTATATTTCATTAGTGGGTAGTAAAATAGACTGTTAGCTGCTTCTTCACAGTGAACTTAACTGTTATAAAGTAGTCCTTGTTTCATGTATATGTAGTAAAGACTATTGTTCTGTGTGGCATGTACCCTTTTTTTAACATTTAGGCAGGACTTTTACAATCTGTGCATGTATCTTGGCTTTTTAGTTGAATTATTTACTATTGGTGCACAGTGGCCAAATGTATGATGTCTTTGCTCTGTGAAATGACTTTTCTAATCTTCACAGAGTAGTGTTTCATGGAAGAGGTAGGACTTAGGGTTTTCTGTTCTTTGTTGTCCCCTCAGCACTAGACATCCAAATGCAGGCCTGTACATTCCAGGCAAGGGCTGTACCTCTGAGCTACGTACATTCCCAACCCTAGGGCTCAGAATTTAAAAGGTACCAGTAATGTAAGAGATATTTGGCTTTGATATTTTATTTGAAATATGACACATTGCAGTATACTTTCCTAATATCCTTTTTGAAATTGCGATAAAGGGTGGTCACTGTAATAATTTCTAGGTCATTATACTTCTCAGTTGACAGAAACACTGGGTGACATAGGGTACCAGTTGGGGAGAAAACAACGTTACATTTGTTATGAAGATAGTTCCTATTCACTTTGTTAGGTGAGCTTCTTATTCAGATATTTTCTCGTTTCTTAGCATCATTTTGATCATACACACTCACTATGTAAACATTGGCTGCTTGAGGCAATCCTTATTTTTTAATACTCCATAAAGATACTCTATATAAGAAGTAAAGTAAGCAGGAAGTACTTTAGACAATTCATCAGATCCATTTTGAGGTTAATGCCTAAACTTTTCTTTTTCATTCACTGTGGTGCATTGGTCCATTAATTTTACTACAGTTTTTCTTTAGAGTAAGGACCAGTTCTCCAAAACGACCTCTCTGTGGTTCTCATTTATGTCGAGAATACCCTTCTTCATCAGAATGAAGTAGGTTGAAAGAAATAGTTTATACTTGGATAGTTGCATGAAAAATTTTGTCAAGGGTGCAGCTTAGAACTCAGGATCCGCTGCTTGTTTATTCTAATAAAATAAACTTCAGATACTTACTTAATATAAGTGTTGTATAAATACTGTTGTTTGAATGATGTTAGAACTAATGATGGATGCAAATGATTATTACACTGAGTATGGGCATTGGATTCTGAAAGTCTTGGACTTCACTGATGAGCTCTCAATTTTTTGCTCTGTGATATTGATCAAGTTAATTAACCTCTCTGAGCGTCTATTTTTTTATTTGTCAATATGGTTAATAATACACTGTTAAAGTGATTAAATGAAATTATTTTTAAAAGCAGGTGGAACAACTGGCAGAGTAGCAGCTCTCTATAAATCATGTCAGTTGTTTGTATTTTAATTGTGCATTCTTGTGTCAGCTATTTCTGGAATCTGTTTTTGATTGAAATAGAATTTAAGTTCCCACTGGCGCCTTTTTATTGTTATTCTCGGTAACACTTTATCATTCTGAGATGTAGAACAATTGAGATACCACAGACTTTCAAGGAAAAGAGTAGTTTACCTTGCTTGTATTAGTAAAAGCAATAAAAAGTTAGTAAATAACATTCTAATTTCAGAAAGGCTAGAGAAAAACTCTTACTAATGACACTCTCACTACATTTCCAAACAATAATGAGTAAAATTTTGAGTTGTTGGAAAATTGTGAAAATATGAAAACTTATTATTAATGACACCAATGAACTGAAGAGCCTTATTATTACAGTAAACAGTGCAAATGTATGAATCAAAGAGAAAACAACTCATAATATATTGTCTGTCAAATAAATGAAGATATAAAAATATATTACCTGGTATTCCTTAATTTTAAAACTGAAAAAACAATAATGGTAGGGCTAGAACTGGATCTCTGCTATAAGGATGCTCAGTACATAGTTCTTTTCATTTAGTGCTTCACTTGGAATGTTTTAAATGAGTTTGAAGACTGTATAATGAAAGAAGCAGTTTTCAAATTAAAAGTTTTTTAAATGTGGTTTTCTTTCTGTGCTGGGAGTTGGACCCGGGGTTTCACACATTCTACCCCTAAGCAAACATTCTACCACTGTGCCTGCGCTCCAGCCCCAGAACAGTTTTTATAGTGAGGTGCTAGTTTTCCTTTCCAGCTGTGGTCACTGCACGTGTAAATGGTACCCGCAGATTCTGACCGTCCTCTAGGATACTGCCTTCTAGTTACTCTGACAGATAGTAGAATAACTCTTCTCTTACAGTAGCTAGCAAGTAGATATTATCATGAATAGTGTGAACTTCCCTAAAATAAACTGAATTTCAATTTGTTTCTTTGGGAGGAAATTCCACTCGGAAACATCCCTTTGCTTTTATCTCACTCCTTGGTGGTAAGAAAGGTGATGATTGGATGCTGTTTTTACCATTACATGCATTTCTGTAGAACTTAGTGGAAATAGTGATAAAATGTTTACTTAACCATAGTTATTAATGTATGTGTGCAGTAAAAAAAGACTGGAAGATGTAATAATGTATTTTAATTAGATAGGACCAAACCATAACAGTGAAGTAAAGTTAACCCTCAGAGGGCTATTTTAAATGAAGACCAGTTTATGAAAGATTGGCTTCAGAAAACTAAATGACTTGTCATTACTTACAGCTTCATATCAATTAATCCCTCAGTTGGGGGGTAGGGGAAGGCAGCTCTGAAGGTTCATTCCATTTTAGTTCTGATTGTTGCTCCTCAAAGGGCCTCTTGTATGCAGCCCATGTCATCCAAACAGGTGCCAGAATATCATTTTTTGAAAATGCAAATTTTTTAAGGGAATTGCCATAATGGAAAAGGGACTTGTGAACACATCTGTACAAATGGAACCATCCCATTATTAATGGGAGATTTATTACTGGAGAAATCACTCTAGAACAGCATGGTACAAATTGTACTTTTATTTTAATTCAAGAGCCAAGCCTTGCATTAGAACATTGCTGAAGTTGTGCAGAAAGTAAATGGCACCCATGGGACTGTGGCATTCGACTAGACTGAAGGGCCTTAATAATCCAGTGCTCTAATAACAGTTAAGACAAAGTGTATGTAAGAGCTAATCTTGTCTTTTGCTTTCGTAATAATTTATGAATGGGAACCAAAAGTAGTTGCAATATGCTGGCATCGTTCTTAGTAGATGACTTTTTGAATCAGAAATTGAAGTTCACCAATTAACTTTTCAGAGTTTCTTTAATGAAAGATAGTAAAATAGGATATGTGTTTCCAGCAGGTTTCATTGCCACATACTGCTCTTAGGAGATTATACCCCCTACATAGATGAACCTTCAAGGAATGGTTGAAATGAAAATACCAGCCTATTGTTTTTATAACAATTTGGAATGGTTATAGAAGTGAGTATTTTTGATGGCTATTTGCTACTGTTGCAGTCATTATTTCAGTTACTTAAATAATATCAATTATATTGGACACTTTTCTTAGGTTTCATTGTTCATCTTTTGATACAAGGCACTCTCGGAACTGGGGATTTAGCTCAGTGGCGCAGCACTTACCAGGCAAGCATGAGGTTCTGAGTTCGATTTCTAGTACCAAAAAAAAAATCAAAAACAAAAATAAAAAGAGTACTTTGGTCCTTTTTCAACTGGAACAGATAGAAGACACTCTAGTTATTTCCTCTTTTTTGTGTGGCACTGTGGGCTGAATCCAAGGGCACTCTAGCACTGAGCTCTATTCCTGTAGGTCCCAGTCTCTTTTTTTTTGGACAGGATCTCACTGACTTGCCAGGCTGATCTTGAACTTGTAATCCTCCTGCTCCAGCCTTCTCTGAGTAGCTGGGACTGCTACACATGCCACTACCCAGCCTCTGCATAAGCCTTTTATATATTTTAAAAATATAGGTAAAGTTCTCAGAAATTAGCTGATAGCATTGAATAGTTTGATATAAATGATATTTACAGGGACTTGAAAATGTTCTTTTAAACCTATTTTTGGTTTTACAAAGCACTCCTACCCACCCCACACACCCTCGCTTCACCTTCACATTTTCTATTCAGAGTATCGGACTAGAATTTCAGCTCGGTGCCGCTTTCATCTAAGCATAGTAACGTTTTAGAATTGTGCACCCAAAGCAGTCGACATTTTATTATCCTTCTGTGTCACTGGAAAATCTTCAGACAGGCCTGGTTTTAAGATCGCACACTAGATGGCAGTTTTGTCATACCCTTCCGACTTCAGATGCGACCACCGTGTGAGCAGAACACAGGAGAGGCCGTCAGTGTTTAGTCTGCACTCAAAGGGTCTCTGTGTGACCAGTGCGGGCCCCGTGGACTTCCCGGAACATATGTTAGCAATTTAGCTGCAGACATTTATTTCGTTGTTTTACTGCTTGGCTCTTTGAGAAAGTGTTGGTGCCGGGTTATGGGTTGTCTGGATCATGTCAGAGGCCATTGGGGATCAAGTTCATGTGACAGGCCAGACTGAGCAGAGATGAAGTTGGAAGAGGTGAGGAGACTGACCCTGACTTTCAGCAGCAGCAGGTCCTTGCCTGTCTGTGGATGGGGGCCAAACGCCTGGGTGTTTAAATTTTACTCCAGCTGAACAAATAAAACACGTGGCCCATTTGGCTTTTTCATATTTCATCAATAGTTCACTTAGACTTCTCTGTTTTTCAAGAACTTACTTATCCCCTTTTGCTCCCTTAATGCTTTGTCCTATAGCCCTGTCCAGAAGAAGCGACATTGAAATCCTCGGCTACTGCATGCTACGGTGGTTGTGTGGGAAACTTCCTTGGGAAAAGAACCTGAAGGACCCCGTGGCTGTCCAGACTGCTAAAACAAAGTACAGCTTTTCAAGTATTTCATCATTACTGTAACAAGTCTGAAGGGTACCTTACAAGGATTCGATATCCCAGAATAGATCACCATTCATTTACATGACAAAGCAAATATATTTAATTTGAAAAAAAATTTAAAAACAATGAATAGACATAAAATCCATTAAGGGAACACCTATAAAATTAGATATACTTGCATTACAATGCAAAATATAGAGTGAAATGTCTGCTCCTTTAGAGAGTGTTTTCCAGAACTTAGATTCTAGGTGGTAGTGTGTGCAAGGAAGAGTATGTTCACATTAGCATCGTGCGAGTGTGTGGATGTAGTCAGAGTATGGTGTGACTGACAGTAACTGCAGAGCAGCAGTGTGGGGGTGGGGCAGACAGGGCTTGCATTTTTTGTGTAAAAACAACATATCTCTTATTTCTGCCTTGGGGAGAGTACGTTTCATTTTTTAAGGAAGAAACAAAAGTTGTATATAAGCTATTTATACGAGTTAGTCTTGTACATAAATGTTTTCAATAATCTGCATTCAATTTTTACTACTTAGATTCTATAAGCATTAAGCAGTAGGGCAGCCTTAGAGTCTGTTACTGTTTTTCACTTCTCTCACTGGTCAGGCGCATGAAAAAGCCAGCGGAAGTGGCACAGAGTAGCAAGTTTTTCATTATACAGAGATCTGCTTAATAACAGTTACCCACAGATACCAAAAACGTTAAAGCAGGTGAAGTTTTCCTTAGGATAAGTAACAACAGAAGGAAATAGAGGCTAGCGTATTCATGAAAATCAGTCTGCAGATGCAGTATAGTATCAGTTTGTAAGAAAGAAAGACTGTAGTGCGGGTCACATTTATAAATGCTGATATGTATGTATATATAAAATATATATGTATATGAAACATATCTCTACTTGGAATCTTGATCAGCGTAGTTTCTTACCCCAAACTAACACATTTACATAAGGCTGTATTAGAATTAATCAGTTATTTATCACAGTGATTAATGTTATTCAAGGAACTGACATAGTCCATACCACGTATCAGTTCAAAGCCTTGGTGTCTAACTTTCCAACTTAGTTTACCTTACTTGAATAATGTGCTTTATTTAAAGGCTAGCATTTTAGTTATAATGGTTATGTACATATTTTTGTATTAATAAGACTTACTAATGATTTTAGTCTTATATGCATATCTATTCATATATATGCATATATCTTATATGCATATCTATTCATATATATATGCATATATATATGAATAGATATATTCGTATATATAGATATATTCATTGTAGGAATCTGTACTGAATACATCTACATCATATGTATATTTACATATAATATGATACCATATAAATTATAAGGCTTTAATAAGTCAACTATAACTCCTCAGATAAACTGTAAGTTAAACTTTCAACATTTTCAAGCTTCTTAAAGTATGTAGTATGTGAGCATAATTTTTGGATCTACTGAGATTGTATAGCAATTTCCCCACCAGGGCATGATTGCATATTCGTCCATAACATTGTATCTTCTTTTACGCCCTTCCCCCTTACACATCTTAGATCAGTGCATTTACCATTGCTATTTTGCCTGTGCCTGAATTTGTGAATCGTACACTTATATCAGTCATTTTAGGTAGCTATTTATATATTTGTGGCTAAGGCAATTTAAGAGAGTTATACTTACTTAAAATACTAGAAAGTGCTTACAAATTTTGGGTTTTTTTTTAATATTTCTTTTTAACCTGTTTAATCATAAGTCAGCATAAAACATTACCCAGTGGAGAACAATATACATAAATAAATAATTCATCACTCTCCCATGGTAAATATCTGAGGAACAATATCCTTAAAATCCAGATGAAAATTTTGTATGAAGTTTTTCTGTTGCTTTTAAGAAATAATCCTGACCAATATCCCTACTTCTGCATTTCTGCATATATAAAATTTGTATTAAATTCCACATCAGGTGGGTAGGTGAGGCATGTAAAGTTGGTCAATGGGAATTGAGGCATTTCTTGCACTTTTATTTATCCTCCCATCTATTATAGGTGTGTGAAAAAAAAAATTGAAAGGCACAGTTTTGGTGATCTGCAGAATGAAAACAGTGAGTCATGGAACTGAAAACAAATTCATTGTGTGTCACTCCATTTTGTTTTAGTCTGCTGGCTGAGCTTCCTGAGTCAGTGCTGAAGTGGGCTCCATCTGGAAGCAGTTGCTGTAAGTCAAATGATAACTTCCACTTTCTCTTACATTTACAGGTCACCACATTTGTCACTCTTGTTCTGTAGCTTTTGCTTAACCTGTCCACTCCTATTCCACAGTGTGGGAGGAAACTCTTCAGGGTCACAGACAGGTTGCTAGAGAAGGAATATTCAGATCGTCTTGACTGTGGAACACAAGAACTCTGTGAGAATCGATGTCTGTGGTGCTGTAGGCTCTGCTGATCGTGCTTATTTAGATATACATTTTAAGAATCATGCACAAGCTTAATATTCAACTGCATCTGATATTTCTAGAATTAAGACATTCTGGTTTTGTTCTTCTATCTCTTGTTGAAAGAAGTGAGCCTAAGAAAAGACTACTTTCAATCAGTAATTAAAAAACCAAATCATTAAACACTTGAATGCTGTTTGGACTTGAGTTGATCTATAATTGAAGAGACAGATTTTTTTTTTTTATTTTTTGATTAGCAGAAGCATCTGATCTTGGGATTTGGAGGTATATTTCATAAATGGTTTTGTCATTCAAGTTTGTGTAGAACTTCTTGGAATTCTTTAAATAATAACATTGTCAATGTAAAATAGTATGTCAGCTTGGACTTACCCAAGTTCCTGTCATTTGTATGTGCATCGATGATATATTATCCAACTCTCATTTAATAATTGTCTTATAGAAAAGAGTCAGCTAGCTCTGCCAGTAGGCAGAGATAGGTTAGCAGGGTGAATCTTATTATCTGTCTATATTGGGAAACCTCAAGTTTAGCTTTTCACTGACTTCTGAAAGTAGATTTGTATACTGATCGTCAGATAGCCTGTGTCCATTTGCAAGTTGAAAAGTGGTTTTCTTAAACTTACATTTACAGCCCTGTTTTGACTAGAAACCAAAATTGTCATTAGTGAAGGAAATGAAAGAGAAACAACCCAGTTTTACTTTCTACCACCCCGTGGTAGGTCCCATCAGCTGCTTTCCCCTTTCTGTTTTGCTTTTCTTTTGACAGACGGCACTGAGCAAGAGATCTGTTCAGGGAGATGTGCTGGAGGAAGAAAATTTCTGTTTCTGTAACTGCACTAGTTCATCTGGCCAAAATGAAAATATTCCTTTTTGACTATTATTCTTATTAGCATTTTTACCAAGTCATGTAGTTTGTTTTATTTAGTGGGACAGAAACAAGGAGGGGTGAGGGAAATGTTATTTTTTTAAAGTTATATATCCCCCTTAGTTTTCTTGTTCCTTGTGTATAAAAGGTATAAAAGGTAACTGGTGTAGGATTAGAAAAGAAAGCCCAGTTGCCCTGGATTTTACGAGTAAATGTTTGTGGGCCAATATATATTCTGTGACACACCTGTCATTAATCTCACAGTTAAGATTTGAGTCATATGAAAACTGTGGATCAGAGGCATACCCGCTTCCTCTTTCTCCGTACAAACCATTTATTTGAGTTTATACTATTATTTATAAAATGCACATTTCTATTTCTGAAGCACCAGATATTGAAACTTTAACAAGAAATGAAGTTCTCTGAAGTTTGCAGGTTGTGCTTAGAAGCACAACAATGAAAATTAAAGGAACTGATTTACAAAAGGTTCATTACTGAGAAATTTTACAAAATGAAACAGCCAAGGAGTTTGCAGCATGCATGTCCAACTCAATGTAATAATAATTTCAAAAGTTTTTAATCTATTGAACTGATAGTAATGATACTTAATATTTCACTAGCTTAAAGAACAGATGATTCAGAAATACCATAATTTCATAGTACTCAATACTTTTGTTTTATAGCTTTGGAAATATGCTAGTAAATTTTTTAAAATGTAGTCAGTACGGAAAACCCAAATCTTGAAAGGCTAATATTTAAAACTGTACCACATCACAATCATCTAAGCTTCAGATTTATAATAATAAATTTACAACAGAGGTGGCACTTTTCATTTGCTATTTTTTATATCTCACTGGTCCTCGTTTTTGGATACTTGCATCCCATTGAGGTTTTGCATGCAGTTCCTATCAGTTGGTGGAGTTCCAGAAGTTTTCCGTTGTCTTCTCATGACACAGGAGAAATAAATATAACACCCAACCTGTCAGATGTCAGATACATGGAGTTTGTGTTCCCCAAAACCAAAGAATGTGTTCTAAGGAACAGCAGAGGTTAAGAGTAGGAAATATTTATTGAGCAAGAAAGATAGCTCCTGAGAGACGGGAGGGGACCTGAAAAATGGGTTGCCACAGACCCCATTTTACAGAGTAAGTTTTATAGAGCAAAATCACGAGGTGCATGCAGTGCGGGACAAAGTTGTAATGTGTTCGCATCTTTCATACGGACTCCCTCAGGTCCCTAGTCCTGTCTGACTGCCTATGCTATCTTTACCTATCTTAGCCATCTATCATAACAGTGACTAGTTTCAACATACTCAGCTCTCTCCTTCATTTAGGATATCATGGTTAGTAGAATATACATCAAATTTGACTTACAGGTCCATAAAACCAAAGAGCAACAGGATATGTATATTAAAATGGTAGTGGAAATAACTTAATCTTTTTTCTTTTGATCATACCTTCAGGAATTGGATGCCCCCCATGGGCTCCAGGGAATATCAGTTATAAACATGATGATAAAGCATCAGCAGTTGCTAGTTCACAAAGATTGGGTTGACTGAATGCTAGATAACAGAGTTTGATATGTCTCATAAATTAGAGAGCAAAAGAGTAGGTTGCATAATTGTTACATTGTCTTGAGGAAGAAACAGCCTACAGCCAAGAATTTTCATTTTTTCCTTAGCTTTATGTTTCGAGAAAATAGCTGTGGAGTCTATGGGGTGAAATGGTCACTTGGATTTTAACGGGGAGAAGGGGGAGGCTGGTCATCCCGTTTGGAGTTTTCCCCATAGGGAGTGAATGCAGCACCCCCGCAGTTCTCCATTTGAATGGAGGCAGGCCTGGAGGAGAGAGGAAGGCTCACTCGGAAATCACCCCTGCCAGCCCATGTATTTCTCCCACCACGGGATGTAAACAATTAAGTGACAAAGTAAGAGGGACTTGTTAGTGACGCATTCTTGAAGGCAAAGGCATATGTAAACATCGCTGAACAAATGGAAAGCTGCCAGATTTTACGCATAGGATTACTGTTCTCCTACGTTAATTTTAGATTAAACCTCTACCTGAAACAAAAATGCAAACACAAAACATTTCACTGAAGCTGTTTATAACTTTTGGTTACTAATTGTACTTGAATGTAAAAGCTGGCCGGCTGAGGGGAACATGTGGCTCAGTGGTAGAGCTCGACATACTTGAAGTCCTGGGTTTGATCTCCAGCACCACAAAAATTAAAATTAAAAAAAAACTCAAAAATAAAACTGAGTAGTCCATTTCCATTCTAGCGGAAGATGTTTTTACATTAGAGAAAAAAGTGAAGGTGAGAACTCTTCACCCTCCTGAACTAAAATCAACAAGACTGCTGTGAAGGCACAGGGCTGGCTGGCTCTGCGGGCGAAGGAGGTTGTGCAGCCCGGAATCAAGAATTGAAAGCACAGAATTCGGTCATTACTAAATGTAATGTTATAATGTTAAAATGAAAACCTAAATTAAAACTTGTAATGCCTTTTTTTCTTCCCTTGGCAGTCAGGTTTATAATAAGTAACAGTTGTTTTTAACTGAAGTTTTAAAAACATGTCTGAAGATGTCTGAGCTATTATTTTTGTGTAGTTCTTAGTAGCTGTACCTCATAAATCAGAATCGCTAACTATAATTTTTAATATTTGCCTCCTCCTTTATGATTAGTTCATTATAAATACATCAAATTATTTGTGAAAAATTACCAATTTGTCCCATATTTCAAATCTATAGGTCACTGTATTTGTCATTTTTAAAGTGCCTTTAATTGAGTTGTTCATTTTTAGTTTATTTAGGATACATGTATGAGAGAAGAGATTTTTAAAGCTATTAGAGTTTTGATAAATCTTGCCAATTATGAATGACGTAAAAAATTTAATACTTTACAGGTGAAATAGCCCAATTTTTGTCATATGTTCATAGTTTAGCTTATGATGAAAAGCCAAACTATCAAAGGCTGAAGAAAATTCTAAACCCAGGTGGAGTACCTTTAGGACCACTGGAATTTTCGGCTAACGGACAGAGTGTAAATGTGCATACCCCAACCAATCAAAAAGTAAGTAACAGAATCCTCGGGATCCTATATTATTAACTTCTATGAATCTTTTCTATCAAATGAAGTTGTTCTAGCTCTTAAAATGAGTCTCACAACTCAGTTTCTTTCTCATTATGTTTAATTTCTATTTCCACTAACTCAGCATCAGGAAGGCACGTGGGAAGTCCTTTTGACACATTGTCTGTCAAACAGTAGGGTCTGTGGCCTGCTGTATACTGTTGAGGAAATAACATGATGTCCTGATGTCCTAGGTCTATAACTATGGTGAAGTTAAGGGCCAGTCTGACTTGGTCCATGAGAGCCTGTATTTGCTTCTTTTCCTTAGGTTTTCTTTAATTACTCCCTCCTCTTTTTGTCGAGGAGTTTGGCCGTCGCTTGGTGCTGGATAATATTCCTTTTGTCTGCTGATATTTTAATCTATAGAAATAATTCTATGTGCTATTGCACATCTTCTTTTATCCTTGTATCTTTCAACAGACTCCCTCACACCAGCTTAAAAAAAAATGGCTAGAATGTAGAAACAATAAAACAATTAGGACTTTTTAAAAAGAGGTGGCATAAATCTGAAACTGCTGTTTGTAGCATTATTGGGCAGGCAGCTAAATGTCCATTTCTTTCTTGATTATCCATATGCAAAAAAAAAAAAAAAAAAGAAAAAGAAAAAAAACCAGTGTGGAAGGCGTATTTTCCTAATGCATGTACAATACGGGAGGGTCAGGATGCCATTCATTTTCAATACTGCTTATGAACTTTGGATCATCGCGCGTGTTCCTGAGCCAGGAATGCAGGATGCAAACTGATGTGACTGATAGGCTGCTGGATGAATGGTGAGTCAAGTATCAGTGCACAGATGGTTCTGATTTGCTGAATTTTGTAGCTGCCGCAACTGAAGACATAAAATATCCTTCTAGTCATAAATTAGCTCTTTGGAAGCAAAACCTTGGCACCAGAGCTTTACAACCTTCAATTAGTAGGAGAAGAAGTATTTGAATGACTGTGGTATTGACATCTGTAGGCCTGCATAGTAATCATTCCTAATAGAAGAGAATATCTGTTTGAGGAGGTTTTGCATGGCTAATTAACTACCAGTGAGAATATGTAATTTTTTCATGATCTCCTGATTGTCACCTTTCTCTCATGATACAATTACATTTTATTGTAGCAAGTGCCTCACAAACCAATTGTCAGCACTATTTACGTATTGCAGAAGGCAGAACAAAAGTTCATGTTTAATAAAAAGCCACTGGATTTTGATCTTGGTAATTACTGAGACTTATTGTAACAGTTTTATTGACTTCTGTATTTTTATCACTTTTCCAACAAAACAAAGAGCCATTTCCTTGACATAGTGTTTTCCTCCCAGTAATGGTCACCACTTAATCTACGTTCATTTAAATAGATTTTCTTCTCTTTCTGTAGTTTTTCAGTTTCATAAACTTAATTGAAATATAAAAGAAGCCATTTAAAAAACCAGTAACTATATCCATTCCTATAAAATTCTAATTATTATCTACCAGAATTTTCAGTTTCATCAAATTTGAAGAGTGTTTGTTTAATATGCAGAGAATAGAACATAAAACATTTTTCCAAGGAGCTTCCGTCAAAAATATTTTATTACTTTTGATTAGAACATTTTGGTTGTATGTAAAAAAGAAACACTTAAGAATAATATGCATTTTTAAACCCTGTTTCTATTAATAATGTGATCAGCTTGGATGTATAGATAGTAAGATATATTTCACAGCAGACCAATATTTATTAATGATGATTTCTCTGGTATTAAAAATGCATAATAATGACTATAAAATATATTTTCACATAGTATGGCTACACTTTTTAGTATCTTAATTTATATTTTTAAAATTTACAGATTTTATAATGCTGCAAAAATCAAACTTGAAAATATTCAAAAGATTAGTATGAGAGTATAAACCATTAATTTTTCCTGAATGATACAATAATATGATGATTTCCACAATAGATTGTTCCTATTAAATAGTAAGTTGGATCCACAATGAGTATCAACTACCTTGTCCCAAATTCCCTTTTGGTCTCAAACTCTGACAAGTGATTAAAAACATTTCTTGTTACTCAGGACAGTATATGGATCACTTTAGTTATTTAACGAACTAGTGAATGAATTCTGAACTTACTTTGTTGGGCAAAGATACCTAAAAAGAAGCTATTGGACCAAGAAAAACTATATAGATATAAATAAAATATTTCAAAGGAAAAAATTGTACTAAATTTTTAAAAAATTTAATCATCTCATTATAAGTGAAAGACTGAGGGAGATTTGGTGATCTTAACAGAAATATGTTTGCATTTGGTATTAGAAAGGAGCACACCACAATGAGGATCTCAGCAAAAATAAAGTGTCTTTTTGAAAAAACAAAAAAAATGAGGCATTCTTCCAATAAGAGATTTTACTAGGTATCATGAACTGATCTCAATAAATGAGTCCTCCTTTTGAAATCCTCAAATACTGTTACCGGAGTCAAATTGGAACTGAATTTTCATCAAGATTGTAGAAATACTGATTTTTTTCCCTTGAGTAGCAAATATTCTGGGGTATTTACATCAGTGAAAATGATGTACACATAACTGAGTCACTTGCTAGTGGTTCTGGCCGCCCCTACAGTTGCACTGTCCATCAAATTAAACCTCTGCTGTCAGGGTCACCATAGTCTGTCTGTGTCATTCAGCGAGATTTTGTTGGTGGTGGTGGTGCTGGGAATTTAACCCAGGCCCTTGCGCCTGCTAAGCGCACACCCTACCACTGACCACTTGAACTACACCTCCAGCTCCCTACTGGGATTTAATGTCCACATTCCAACGTAGAAAACCGTATTTTAGTAAGAGTGCTTATTGAGGTGAGCTAAAGCTCTAGAATTCTCAGATGAGAATGTTAAAGCCAAGATGGAAAACAGCTTGAAGGCTACAGTTCAGCCCTTGAATAAGCTACCTCTTAAAGAGCCGTAGATCATTTATGTTTTATCACTGTATTCCCTCATTATGGTGATTGAACCCATATTGTAGTAGTGGAGATATTTGGACATGAGTCACCCATCCTTCCTAAATGCTTTATCTAAATCTTCAAGCTCTCCTACATTTCAGATAATAAAAGTTTGGTTTTTTTATTCCCCTCAATTTGAATTCCTCAGCAAATCCAGGGATGAATGGATTACTGAAGAAGAAATCTTTGTGTAGAACTTACCTGTTTGTAGAATTCTTTGTTGAACTTTAAATCTCAGACTAGGCCTGTGAACTTATCTTCCTGTTTATTTTCTGTATATGAGGAAAGTGGAATACATATTCTGATTAGAAGCATATTTTTGATCTATTAATTTTTAGGAGTCCAGAAGTGTTCTTGATTTTATAGGTCAGTGTGAAGTTCCATTGGAAACTACATAAAAGCTACCTCATGTGGATAGCTGCTTTTCATGAAAATGACTCATACTTGAATAGTGTCCTTCTGTTCGATTACGTGGGATGCCTAGTATTTCCTGAATTTGTTTTTGTAGCTATGGGGAAAAGAAAGTTGTACTCTTTACTATAAGAAGTAGACTTAATCACCTTATGTTATTCTTATAGGTTTACCTAAAAATAGAAGTTTCCCACGAAGTAGATATCATTCTGTTTATTACCTAAAGGTGCTTGTGGCGGTGCAGCTCAACCATCCGCCCACTCATAGCTGACCCAGGAAGCATCATCTCTTCCAAGAGGCCCTGCAGAGCCTGAGTACATTATGCCAGAGGCTCCCAAGGCAAAAATTGGTACCTTAAATGTTTAGCATACAGGAGACACTACAAACCTTTATCGTATCTCAACTAAAAATAGAACTATTGTCTAGTCCAGCAATCTCATTTCTGGGTGTGTCCTCAAAGGAAAGGAAGTCACGATATGTGAGAGGTCACAGCACCATGTTTACTGCAGTGTCACTTACAATAGCTGAGACGTGGAAGGAGCATGGTGTCTACCGATGAGTGGTCACGAGGATGTCAGGCTAAGTGAAACAGGCCGGGGGAGGAAGACAGATGCTGTAAGGGACTGCGTATATGTGGGATCTCAAAGAAGAGATGAGACTGAAAGCAGGGCAGAGAACGTGGTGGTTAGAGACTGAGTGTTGGGATATTGATCAGAGCATACAAACTTTCAATTATAAGATGAATCAGTTACAAAATCTAATATATATTACAGTGAGTGTAGTTAATACTGTATTATATACTTGAAATAGGCTAAGGGAATAGATGTTACACAAAAATGGTGATAGATGTGTTAAATGAACTGGATTGTGGTAATGATTTCACAATATATAACATATATCAAAACATTTTGTAGCAGGCATAGTGGTACACACCCATAATCTCAGTACTCAGGAGACTGAGGCAGGAGGATCACTGCAAGCTTGAGGCCAGCCTGGGCTACATAGTGCAAAGGCAGTTTGGACTACAAAGTGAGACCCTGTCTCAAAAAACAAACAAACATTTGGTGTACTATGTATCATTTTTGTCTGTTATATCAATGAAAATAGAGGAGAATCTCAACTAACCTTTTATATTACCTAGCCTGTTTTCACAGTGACTGCCCAGGCAGCTTTAAAAGGCTAAAACAGCACCGACTTTGTGGGAGAACCTTTGATTTACATGAGTGGTGTGATGTACATTTACTCCTAAAATAACCATGGGCAGAGTACCTCAGAAAATGGTGACCCATCAATTTTCCAAGGAGTTTGAAAGGGTTGAGTAGTGAAAATAAAAATCCCTGTGGGATTAGGAAACATTTTGATTTTGCAGCTACTGAAAGGCAGTGGTTTTGCCATTCTTCGATAAGCTGAGGCACAGGAGGGAGAAAGAATGGTGTTGTGACAATTCAGACCCAGCCATGAAACACCAGCGTATTTTAAAGGGGAGGAATGAACACACTTGGCAGTAGAACCTAAAAATCGAGAGACTACAAATTAAGGGTCTGTTTGCCCAGCCAATGTAATTTATCCTCTCTTGGCACTGGCTACTCCATTATTTCCCCTCATGCTGTTCATGTCTTTGGCTCCCTATTTAACCCCTGAAAAGGGTGAAGACACTTTCAGCTGCTGTAAACATGAAGCTGCTGAGCAAATACTTCACATAAGAACCTTCACTGTAGCTTTCAGTCTCCCAACTGTACTGTAGGGTCTGCTGTCTTGGTTACTTTTTTCTCATTGCTGAGACAAAATACCCAATGCCCAAAATTAAGGAAGGAAAGGTTTATTTAGCTCACAGTCTGCGGAGGTTTCAGTCTATACTTGGCTGGCTCCAAGGCAGAGTGGCACATGGCAGAGGTCAACGGTTTGTGGCGACAGAACAGCAAAGCAACCAGAGCAAAAGGGAGGAGCAGTGGCAAGCAGCCTCTTTCCCTTCTTTACAGTGTATGCAAACTACCTGCCCCAGGGCGGGTGTAGCACTCACACTCATAATCCCAGCACTGGACCATGGATCCATCATAAACTCTAGAATAGAAGCCCACCCAATGACTGCATGAGGCTTTGGGGGGACATTCAGACACAAACCGTAACATCTGCCCTTCTGTTTCTGTGTCTCTTCGAGGTTATTGAGAATCAGTCATCACCCAGATAGCACCATGGTGTGGGGAGGGAAAAAACCTTAGAGACAGCAAGCTTGCTGTAGAAGTTAACCTCTGGTACTGCTCTGCAGTACTAGATGACACAAACCATTGCTTATCTTGCTCAAAGGTTAAACTACCTGCACACAAAGTAAGCAACATCATAAACTCCTTTTATACTTTCACATTAATTGGACTCACTTCAGTGATTGAAAACGATTTTAATTAATAAGAATTTAAATTACAGAGATATACTGAATCCACTTCCAGCAAAGGTTAATAATGAATTCATGTACAGTTTCAAAAGTGACAATTTTCTGTACAGATGTTTTCGGTAAGCAGGTATCTATAGAGATGATTCCTAAAGAGTGTGTGACAGTGACGCTAGTTTTAATTGGTTTTGTCCCATTGATGAGAAGGGTCTGCATCTTGCCAACTACTGTATTTTTTATAATGTCCACTGTTAAGTTCCTGTTTGTTTGCTAAAGCGTGACAAGTTTAGTGTTTTCAAGAATTTGGGCATGAATCCATTTTTTTAAAAAAAGAAATGTCAAAATTTTTCATTATGTATTATTACCCTATACGAATAGGTTGATTCAAGAAAGGCTGCAACAAGACAAGTTGATCAGATACAAAATAAGTTGAAAGAAAAAGCCCACTCTGAGAGAAGCGCTGAGTCCTTTGCCACAGGGAGAAAAGTGCACAAAGAGGACAAGCTGATTGGATTGACGAACAATGAAGTAGTTCAGGTGAGAGGGTTGGTGGTGTTTTCTCTTACTGTTACATTAGAATGTGCCCTTTGGGAATAAAGATACTTTATTTTTTCCTGAGAGCCAAGGTTGTTTGGTTTTGTTAAAGGAGAATAGATAGACAATATCCTATCAAGCTGATAAAATCAAAGCAGCCAACAGCAGTCACTACCAAAACAGAACAACTGTGTGCACATTTGCGTACAGATCTGATTGCTTTATCCTAAGAATGAAGTGAAGTGCACTTAAGTTTCCTATGCCATCCATTAGCAACTCTTAACATACACATTCTGTGCTTTTTGTTGGTTCCCCAAGTCTGACCTTTACAGTCAGATGTAAGTGAGGTGTTTTCCTGTCAGTAGGTTGTATTTTAAAATGATGTATTTTTGGCATCATCAGATCATTTGGGTAGACAGTGACTCACCTTTTGCAGATGATTCATTCAAGCAGTAGCAAACATCCTTCTAAACTGAACATTTTTGAGAAAGAGATGCATACAATATATTTGTATCTAGAGTGAAAAAATGTTTAATTTTGTCCAAATGGCCAAATTTTATGTGATTTATCTACCATCATTTATCCCAAATGATTTGAAGTAGTTTACAATATGAAACAGGATAATTTAATATCCCCACCTTTTACACCTTCTGTCCAAGAAAAATTGATGCATCAGGCAGGTGGGAGGTTAATCACTAAACTGAGTGCTGAATTTGGCTTTGAACTTCTTGGCAGCCAACACAAAATTAAACATAGTAGTCACACATTTCTCATCCAGCCAGCAAGCATACAAGTTTATTCAGAGAGAAAGGCTTTAGTGCTGACAGACATTTTTTCATTTATTCTGATACAAACTAATAGTAGTGTTTATTGTCTTATTTTAAATTTACATAATGAAATCTACTTTAAATGGGCATATTTTATAGCTCCCATTTGTAAAATTAAAGACAAATTACTGCATGGTGACAAAACTTAGAGATTCTAAATCTTTATTGAAAAAGGCTTTCTCAGCTCTTAGCTATGTGTCAGAAACACCTAGAGTAAGGAGAGACTATAAAAATATTGGTACTTGTTTCAAACTAAGAAGTGAACTCATTTTGACGAGTCTGACAGTAGAAATTGTGGTCCCAATTTTATCATTCTAGAAAGTCCTTTTCCCAGTCAGTGTTCTTCCTCCTGAGCAACCTCTGTTCTGACGTTTTGACTCTCATCTCTTGACTAGTTTTGACACTTCTAGATTTCGTATGTATGCAGTCATATATTGTACATTACTCTGTCTAGATTCTTTCTTTCAGCCTGTTTTTGAGATTTATCAGATGTCACGCATGTATCAATAATTTTTATCTTTTTCATTGCCAAATAGTACTCCATTGAATAACATAATTTACATAACTTACATTTTCCTATTAGTGGACACCCAGGCTGCTTCAGGTTTCTGACCTACGTAAACGTAGTTGGTATAAACATTCTGATCTAAGTCCTTCTGTGGACGTGTTCCACTTCTCCAGAGATGTGGAATTGCTAGGTCACAGGCTAAGTTGATAAAAGAAAAAAAAAAACCTGACAAATATTTCTTGAAAGCTACTGTATCATTTTATACTCCCTCCAATAATGCACAGGTGTTTTGGCTGCTCATCTTCCTCTCTAACATTTAGTTTTTTGTCTTTTAAATTGTAACTATTCTAATGTGTAGGTTAGCATCTCATTGTGGCTGTGGTTACTTACCTGATGAATGACTTGGAGTACTTTGTTACATGTTTACTGGCCATTCTCCTCCTGTGAAAGGGCTTCCCAAGTGTTCAGACACATTCTTGTATTGGACTTTTCATTATTAAGCTACAGTCGCCGTTTATAGATATTCTACATAAGGCTCCTGTCAGGTATCTGTAGGGTGGGCGGTCTGCCTTTCATTTACTTAATGTGATATCATTTTGCTGAAAAGAAATGTTTTAGATTATTTGTCATTTTTACTTGTAAGTTCAGCTTTCAGTTTTCTTTAATAGTTTTTTCTTTATAAGTAAACCTAAGAAACTTTTGCCTTTCTCAAGATCACAAAGTTATTTTGTTAAATATCCTTTTAGAAGGCTCATAGTTCAGCTGGCATTTTTGAGTCTAAGACCTGTCTCAAATCATCTCTTGTGTATGGTGTGAGGTCAAGGAAGAGGTTGATTCTTTTTTGTAGAGATATGCAGTTGTTTTATTGCACCAGCATTGTTGAAAACATTTTCCTTTCCAACTCAAATTTTTTGGAACTGTTTTTTAAAAGTCAGCAAAGTGTATAAGTGTAGGCCTATTTCTGGACTCTCTTGTTTTCTTCTGTTTGTCTGCTCTACCAGTACTACACTGCATGTATTACTGTAGCTTTACAGGAAGTTCTGAAATTAGGAACACAAGCCCTTCCATATTTTTTTCTTTCAAGAATGCCTGGGGCATTTTAGTTACTGATCCTTTCTGTGACAGTTGAGTTTGTCAGTTTGATTGGTTTGGGGGTTGCCTAGGGGATTGGTAAACAGTCTTGTGGGTGTGTGTTCGGGCGGCCCTTTCCTCTCCGGCTCTGTCCCCTGCTCTGCTTCTGGGCGGCCCTGAATTGAGCAGCTTTGCCCTGCTGCATACTTCTACTGTGAGGTTTCTACCTTGGAGCTAGCTGGTCATGGACTGCAATCTCTGAGTCAGATAAACCATTTACTCCTTTGAGTCGTGGGTGTGGGCTGTTTCGTTCCATCATTTACTCCTTTGAGTCGTGGGTGTGGGCTATTTGGTTCCATTAACAGGAAAGCTGACTGATGTACCCACATAAAACTGAAAAACAGTTGTTGCTTCTACAAAAGAAAAGCACAGTGGAATTTTGATGAAGTATATTAAGTGTAAAAGCCAATTTAGGGGGCACTGGCATCCCAGTGTCTTTGAATGCATGAACCTGGTACTTCTTTCCATTATATAAGTCTTTAATTTCTTGCAACAAAGTTTTATGTTTTCAGTATGGATGACTTATACATCTGCCATTAAAATGCTCTCTAGATAGTCTACTTTTTGATCTATTGCTAAAAAATCTAAAAATTCTTACGTTCCAGTTATTTGTTGCTAGTACATGGAACTAGAATTTTTGTATTGATCTTTCTTGTGTCCTGAAACCATGCTAAACTCATTTATTAGTTCAAATACTTTTATAGATCCTTAAGATACTTTACATAGTTGATCACTTTCAATTCTTTTTCTTCAACATATGTGCCTTTAATTTGCATTGGTGTTATTTTTGTTTTTTTCCTCTTGAATCTGTTAGCACTTCTGGTGCTATACTGAATAGAAATTATGAGAGTGGGCAGCCTTGCCTCATTCCGGCTTGTAGGAGGAAAATAGTCAATGTTAGCTGTGAGTTTTTCCTTTAGCACATCAGACTAAGGAAATTTCATTGCCTTTGTAGTTAAGATATATTGAAACATAAGTTTAAACCTGGAATAGATTTGAAATTCTTTTTTGAGGTCTACCAAGGTAATCATATGATTTTTCTCCTTTACTAGTATGATGAATCATACTAATTTTTTAATATTAAATCAAGTTTTTATTTATCAGACAAGCCTACTTAGGATGTGTTCTACTAAATTCAGTTTGGTATACTTCAGCTTAATTCCTGCTAAATTTCAATTCTAGTAAGGAGTTTTATATTGACATTGATTAAAAAAGTGTTTAGTTTTCTTTATTCATAATATCCTTGCATGGTTTATTTCTAGGATTATGAATTGAGTTGAAGTACCTCTGTTTTCAGAAAATATTTTTCTAAAATAAGTCTTCCTTAAATGTTGGATTGAATTTAGCATGGAAACACTGTAAATTGAGTTTTGTTGCAGGATAGTTCTTAATTGTGAATTTACTTCAACAGACATGCTGATCACTAGAGTTTCATTTTCTTCTTGTGTCAGCTTGATAATCTGTAGTATACAATGTGTTAATCTGTTGAATTTATTGTCACTAAGTCAGTATTTCTTGTCATCCTCTTAACATCTGTAGTATCTATAGTGATACTCTTCATTCATTCCTACTAATTGTAACTTTTTTTTTTCTTTTTTCTGTAGTCCAAGGATGTAGTATTTTCAAGGATCTTTTCAAAGACTGATTTTTGCTTTTGCTTCTATTTTGATGGATGTGTTTTCTGTTTCACTAATTGCTTATAATTTTCTTCTGCATATTCTTGGATAGTCTCTTTTTTCAAGATTCATAAGATGAAAGAATCTTTGATTTGTAGCATTTTTTCCTTTCTAAAATATTAAGCCATGCATTAACTGTATTGCACATATTTTCCCATGTTGTGTTTTCATTATTATTTGATTTAATGTATTTCAACTGAAAATACTAGAGCTAATAAGTGGATATAGGATGGTTCCAGGACATAAATTCAATATAAAAAATTATATTTCCACATACTAGCAATAAATACCTAGAATATAAAATTTGTAAAAATCAATACAATAAAAAAGTGGAATATTTTGGCACATGGATTGTTTAGAAGTATGTTAAATCCTAGATACTTTTGAGATTTTTCTAGGAATTATTTTGTTATTGATTTCTAATTTAATTTAATGTTCATCAGAACATACCCTGTATTATTACAAACTTTTACAATTCATTGAATGTTATTTTGTTTTTCAGCAAAAGTCATAGCTTGGCAAATGTTCCTTGTATACTTCTTAAAGAGTTCCTTGTGTACTTGTATGAATGTACTTATATCTTTATACTTGTATACTTTTAAAGAATATTGAACTATTTGACAATGTTATTCAGATTTTTGTTGTTATCACTTATTGATAGAGAAATTTAAACATCTTCAATTTAAAGTGTGAATTTATCTATTTCTCCTTTAGTTCTGTAAGGTTTGCCTTCATGGCTTTTGATGACCTGTTTTTAGGCACATATAGACTTAGGAATGCTGTATCTTCTTGGTGAATTGGCATCTTTATCATTTTAGAATGTGTCTCTTTATGTATGTTGATACTTTGTCTTAAATTCTT